TGAAACCCAAAACCATGCTTTAACGATATTTGCTATACGCACTTGGGGGATAAATGGAGATATTTCTTGACAATGAATCAAAAGTAATGCGATTAAAACAAACAGGTTTTAATCGCAAAATAACAAAAAAGGCTTTAGAATTATTTAAGGTAAATATAATATGCATTCATTTTGTCCTTTAAATATATTCTGGTAATATTTCAGCTATACTACCTATTTGACCACTATTAAAGAGTATTCTCTGTAAGTAGAATTTATACAGTGAAGCAAGTATTGGGGTAAAAAGCCTGATCTATCCCACTGCTACCACCAGAGGGAGGAATTTGTTTCATTTTTGTTTCATTTTTGTCCAAATTTGAAAATCACTATTTGCAAACACAGCCATGCGATTGTAAAGAGCATAATTCAACTTTTAAAAACTAAATCATAGAAAATGTTGTATGTTTAAAAGGCAAAAGAAACTCCATAATCAGTCTCCTTTTAATGTACAGAAACACAGCAGCATCTAAATTGAAACATGAATCCCTCCATGACCGTAACGCACAAGAGACGTGAGTTCAGTGAGTTCATCAGGAGTCGGCGCTACATGAGTTAGAAATAGCACAGATTTCACAAACCTCCTCGTTTATGTGTGAAAGAACAGATGCCAGATCAACCATTGGAGGAGCTACCAGTACAGTACTAAGCATTTTCTACTGGTAAAGCTTGGATACATTACTTTCAAACCACAGCAACTGGAACTATGAAATACACACTAAAGAAAGGTGCTCAAATTTGGCAAAATGTATCTTAAATTGAGCACATTCTGAGCACATACTTTAAAGCAAGATTTGCCAATGGGAAAAGTGAAATAATCTGGTCTTAAAAAGATGCAAGAAATTCCTCCTTTGGAATACTACATGTTTTCAGAGCCAGTTTAAAATTAGTACTCGTTTGGCAATTTTTCTTTAGGATTTTGTTCAGGCATTTGAGAGAAGAACATGTCCAAAAGATCTAGTAATTATTCTAAACATTCCAAAAAACCCGTAAGTTTTGAATGAATAGTAAATGTGTTTGTTTGGTTCATTCTGAATTTTTAACAAATATTATTCATTTTCCCCATTTCCCTGACACTGGCAGTAAAAAAACTTAATTTGCTTGAGAAGAATATATTGCGTCTGGTCAGTGAGATTCATCTTACAGCCTGAGACAGATCTGTAAAAAAGTTTCGACAATCAAAAAGCTAAATTGACCAAAAATAGTTATTGATTTGAGAATGGATTCTGGAAGGAATCATAAACTGGACATGGTGGACCTCAAAGCAGTAATTATATAAACAAAGAGGTTTTAGTATTTCTAAATAATGCCCAGTTTTCATGAACTTTGAAATCATATTGACAAACTATCAATAATTACACAAGTCCTTTTACTAAAGCATGACAACAATTCCAAACCAGCAAAATTCTACGTCCATGTTGTTTATCTTTTCCGCACTGAATCATGCAAATGTGTTCCCCTACTTTGAGTATGCCAGCGAGCTAAATGTTTGTCTGAGAAGCAAATGAGTCTGTATCAGAGGGATGCCAGTTTCGCAAAAGAGCATAACATCTACGGGGGCCAACGCTGCCAAGCTAACAAGCAATTTCTCCTCTCTGCAAAGCAACATTTGATTTCAAGAATGGCCTCTGCAAATAGTAATGATTCCCTCCCCTCTCTTGTTCTAAATCCAGCATTTGCCGACTGCATGCTTCCAAGTCAGAACAAGCCATTGCGCTGGGATTTGGAAGCCAGACAGCGGCTCTGGCATTATTAGTTGCAATAATGGAACAAATAGCGGCCCCCTATGTGTGCCATGCACGGACCTACCCGGAAGAAACTCTCTCATTCCCCCATCCCCCTATAAAAGAACTGAATCATGCCTCCAAGACACAAGGGACACAGTCATCAGTCTTCGCCATAGCATTTCAGGGACCCATTTGAGAGACCTGTTACAACGCCTGCCCCTATCTCACCACATAAAAGCATAAAATTCGAGATTGTGCCCGGAATACAGAGGGAAGATTGTATCCAAACACTGGCCCTTTTTACCGCCGAGCAACACATCATAATTCTTGTATGCAGCCGCAACAAACAGTTGCCCAACAAAGACGGCAAAGTGTGCGGCCAATGATAATCCGAGGCATTTAGGAGCAGAAACAACAGCGCGGTTCTTCATGTCCCAATTTCTACCCCCCAAAAAGCCGTCTTTGACACGGGAACAAGCGTGTCTTTTTGGCTTAGACTTAAAATTGGAGCAGTAGAAGGATAATTGTTGACATTTCATGGTTGCTTGGGCCAGCTGAACTGCAAAAATGTTGAATAAATGCTTACTCTATCTTGCTTTAACATGGGAAAAAATGATTAAAACAATAAGAGCATTCATATGGTTAGATACTTTCAATTGGTAGCTTTAATTCCCAAGGTTGTAGCACAGGGTCCAACTTTCTGCCCATTATTCCAGTCCTGACAAGTAAACAATCCCTAAACTGGAAGCCATTCAAATCTTAAACTAAAATATAAATGAAACCATGCCATTTTCACAAAATTATTTCCAATAGTGTAAAGGTGTGCCACAGGGCTTCAACCTTGGACCACTCAATTTTACAACTTCTTTCATATACAATGGCTTTTTGGTAACCAGACAAGGACAAAGCATGACTATTATTGAATGATTAGATGCATTTTGTTGCAGGGAAATATATGTCAAGCAACGTAAATGAAAATAGTTTGTGATGCTGCTATGATAAGCACATCCATGGGGTTTATCGTAACTTTATCAATAATTGCGTCTTAAATTGTAAACATGGCAGGAATCCTGACAATGAAATGCTTTGCCGTTTTTGGGATTTCAACAGTTAACCCTTAATGGGATCTAATCAAAACATTTCACATTAACTGGTGCACTACACTCGTCGAATCAAAATAACCTTTTCTCTCGGCAACACTTCACCCAAAAAGGCCCACCGCTCACAGCCAGACCACTCTGCTGTGAGAAAAACCTGCCATTTTCCAGCGTGTGGTTGGCTCTTATCCGCATTTGCATTTGGTATTGATTTTGATACGCGAGACGTGCTTCTGCTGCTGCTGCTGCTTGCTGCTGCTGCTCTATATGTGCATGGGCCCAGTGCATTCTGAGCAAAAAAATGAAAAACAAAAATCCACTCGGTGACAAGGAAGGGCCTGGATTTGGAGACTTGTTATGAAAAGATGCGTTGGTGGCTAACAGTGGGATGCCAATTAGGATGCTTGGCCAAGACGAATGGATCCATGGTCACGCACTGCTTTCTCTCTCTTGTCACCCCTCCTCCCTTGCTTCCTTTCTCGCCTCCTTCCATGCCTCCTCTCTCCTAGCTCACAGTCGAGAAGTGCAGCGGCTCCTATTTCATGCACTATACCGGCATCCTTTTCGCGAGCAATGATTTTTCTCTTCTTTTTCCGCCAGTCAAGTACATAATAAACGTCCACCGCAAGGGTATTATTTGGTTCTGCTTAGAAATACAATAGCAGTGAGGAGACTAAATATGCCAAGCAATGGTTTTACTGTTTTTTTCTGTCATTATGCAATGCAAAATCATGTGTCAAAGAAATAAGATAAGATAAAAAACAGCATATCAGATTTAGCTAGTGAAGTAGAATGACTTGCTGGTCAATATTTGTCGCTATTATTTTTCTCATTAAAGTTCTAATAGTCTGAAATTACAGGGGGGAGGGGGGTGGCAATCAGAGCTGCCAACCAAGTCTCATAGCACCAGTCCCTCGCAAGACATTATTGAGGGTGTACCACAGGGTTCTAGTGTTGGACCATTTCAATTACGGTGAACAACGACTTTTCAATTTGAACAAAAATGTGGTTTATTTGATCTGAATTCGAGAGCACTGAACACTTTCATAATATCTCTTTTTTCAGAAAGACAAATGACTTAAACTTCGCTATAAATCATGGCATCCACCTCCAGAAACCATATTTGAAAATGATAAGTGGAGTTAGATTAAACTACCATACAGTTTGAATTTATTGAAAAAAAAACATTTAATTTGCAGCTAATATGTCAAAATTACCATAACGTTTTGATATCTCAAAACTGACTAATCCCCCATTAGTTAATTCTGGTCAAAAAAATAAAAAATACAACATCACATTTCTAACTTTGGATCTTATTCATTAAGAAAATATACAAGTACTGTGACAGTTAACCCTTTAGACGCCAGTACTCAGAGTACTTTTCAGAAACAGACATAAGGTGGAGCTCTGAAACCTTACAAGAGATAGAGTTCTACTATTTGCAGCAATAAATACAAGAACATGTGATGAAACGTTTGTGTGAAGACAGGTAGAAAGTGTCCCAGATGCAGCTATTCTGCTTCTCTGGCGCCTAAAGGGTTAACAGACTCTCATTAGTTGTCATCTTCCAATGAAAGGTAATCATATTTTGACAATTCCAATCATTAACATGGATTACACAAGTCAAAACATCTCTTTACTGTAAAGAAAGTGGCATTTATTCTATCAAAACGTTGAAAAGGATGATTTTTTCACTAATAGCATACCTAATTTGTATATTTTCTCATTTTGTAAGTCTTTGGTAATCTCTTGTCAACCTCTATGCTTCAAAAAAATCTTTAAAAACCTCAATAAACAGTATAATTCATTATTTGAAATGTTGATATAGGATTTATCCATATGTTTACAGTGATTCCAACATTGAGCAGATTCTGGATAACATTCTGGTCCCATGCTTCCAGTTAGACATAGAACACATATTTGTGGTTATAATCACAGTCTTTATGTTGCTTTTGGGTGGTTTAAAAAATCTGATTAACAGTAAAAACATGCAGGCAGAATCAATCTATATAAATACACAAATTTCACATCTACATTAAAATCTAAAGGCATATATTTAACACATAGCTTGCCAAAGATAACGTATGGTGTTTCTCCATTTTGCCTGAATCCCACCACTCATCTTTAAGATAATTGGATACTATAGGAAGTGGCCATTAAGCAGAACCCCAAAACCAATGCTTGCCATCAGCCAGAAGCCAAAACGTCTAATGCACAAAACACACAGGCAGCATCCAAATATTAACAAGCGTTTTTGGAATATTTTAAGGTGGTTTCGAGCCCAGTTTTGGTGAAAGCAAATTGGCAATTAGAAGAAACAGCAGTGATGGCTGTGTGTGGAATACGAGCCGGCTGCTACCCACGCACCCATCCACGCATCCTCCGCCATGTGCCCTTTTCTCCATCCATCCATCCACGCGCGCAGACACCCATGCATTTTCCCCCGTGTGCCATTTCTCCATCCACCCATCCATGCAGCCTCCACACAAGCCACCAGCCAAAGCCATCTCCAAAGCGCACTCCACATCACACAAAAAACCATTATGTTCCAATATATATTATGAATACGCCCGGGGAGGGAGGAGTTCTGCGCAAATCAGAGACAAGTGGATGTATAATTCACGATTCAATTCAAGTCGCTATTACGGCGTCATTCCCAATCGCGTTTGACATCTTCATTACGCGTCTCAGCCACATCTTTCGCCGGGCGCACGCAGAGCTGTCACGCTGATGGAAAGATGTCTCTATAGGCTTGGGTTTATTGGGGGACAAAATGATGAAAAACTTGCCATATTGCTACTATCTATAGTTAAAAACGCACAGAAACGACTGCACAAGATGAGATTTGAATTCGAATTAGCTGATTCCAATGCATGCACTTTTTGGGGGTTGATGTACTTTTACGCATCGTGCCATAGTGTAGTCCATGTGGATTATAAACATGTTTACGATGCAAACTACTACATCGTCTGCATCCACATCCAAAGAAAACACATTCATTCTGCTAGCATCTGCTCCGAGCCACGCCACGCGTAAAAGTTGATTGAAACCAGCCATAAAAAAGGACTTTACCTGCTGCCAGTTTTCCTCCAGCGAAGGCATGGCGCTGAAGTACCCGGTGTCGTGGACGATCTGCAGCTCCTGGAAGATGCTGTGGTTGGCCAACACATCCATGGTTTTTCGCTTTTGTGTTGTGTTCTGAACAAGTGTGGATTGTGGAGAGAATGAGTGCGGGGAAAAATTTTTTAGAAAATGATCCAAGGCGATGTGCGATGTGTCCGGGTAGCAGCGGCGCGCATTATCGGCAAAAAGGATGCGACGCTTGCTCCATGCGCGTATCCACTGTTGCCAAAATAAGACAGTGATACATGCGCGGACGGCACCGGGGAGAGGGGGTGGAGCCGAGTAATGGAAGAGGCGTGGCTTTACGCACCCGATTCAGTCCGTATAAGGGAAAGAGGCGGGCGCGCGGCTGGGTGGGAGGGGTTTGGGGGGTCCGCAGGGCTCCGTTGGCTCCTCTGGCGACGTCACTCAGGCTGGGTGTATGAGAGAGATAGGTAGGCTATTTATGGACGGGTATATTAGATTTGGATGGAGGTTTGAAAGGGTAGTCTGAGTGGAGAAGCCGTGGCGTAAACATGGAGAGTCCACAAAACCGGATAGGAGTTTGCGGTCCACTGAAAAGTCAATATGTAGATTATATGTCGGGCACAGATGGAGATGAGAGGATGAGTGATAGGAGAGAGGAAGCCAAATGTTCATGATAGAAGACATGTTGTGCTTCTGTCTGGTTGGTATATACTCTATGGTGTTTGTAAATCATTAACAACCTTTCAAATTGCAATATTTAAGGTGCACTACAGAACAAATCATCTAAATGCTGCCTTTTGCCTGTACTTGATTCAAAAAGTAAGTAATCTCTATTTATATACCGCCTTTCACAAACCAGAGTCACAGAGCGGTTTACAATTGTTATTTTTGGGCATTTGTCTCTCACTCCACACAGAGATGGGAGCCAGTACAGGAGGCGCATGCCAGATGCTGTACATGTTTTTAGTGGTAGGGGAAACTGGAGTACCCGGAGGAAACCTTAAAGACACATGCAAACTCCACTCAGTCTGACCGGGATTCAAACCCAGGACCTTCTTGCTGAGAAGCGAGAGTGCTATCCACTCAGCCACCGTGCCACCCAGTGGATGTTTGTCTCTGGGGTGCTCCAGTTTCCTCTAGGTACAATACAATACAATACAATACAATTTATTCTTGTGTAGCCCTAAATCACAACAGGAGTCATCTCAGAGACTTAAAAAAACAATTGAAATCACCAACACAGATCAGACGGTGTTCTTCTAACACATAAAAACATGTACAGTAGGTCTGGCACGTGCCTCAAATATGACGACCCCGCTCCCATCACCTGGAGCTGAGCTGCTGAGGGAGACACAACAACACTTGTCTTTGCCAAAACTATGGAACTGCTGTGCTCGGATTGGTTGATAAATATTACAAGTACCCAACCGTCTATTTTCTTCTGCTTCATCCATGGCTGGGTCACAGGGTTAGTAATCTAAACAGCGGTGTGTGTGTATATATTACACGTAATTGTGTTTGAACACTTTGTGTTGTTTTTCAGCACATTGCAGATCTCTAAGGGTGCTTTCACACCTGCACCATTTAGTCCACTTAAAACGGACTGGAGTCTGGAACACCTGCAAGTACGGTTCGTTTGAGCAGGTGTGAAAGTGGACCAGTTAAATTTGGTCCGGACTAAAGAACCGTACCGAGACCACCTTAGGGAGCTGGTCTCGGTGCGGTTCCATGCGGACTCCAGTCTGGTTTGCTGCTGGTGAGAACGCAGACCGGCCTCAATATGGCCCTGCTCTGTTGCGTAGTTCACTTTTTAACACACACATTGTTTTTTTATATGATAGAATAGTCAAAAACAACCGCAGAGTGTTCTCGTGCTGATCTCCGCGATACATACTGGAAATGGAACAGTATTTGTGCTGCACAAAGCAATGAAGATAAAAAAATACCCGCACACTAGAGTAGCACAGTTCATTGTTAAAGATCTGACAAGTTTGTTTTCTTCTGGTGTTCTTCCCTCTTGACATCCTGCACCAATCAGGTTTCACATACATCATCCAATACACAGTATTTTGTAGGCAGCGCCACCACATGGGCAGAATATGTAACATCCACAGTGGTTGGTTCATTTGCAAAAACACTGGTGTGAATGAGAACCAAACTAGTTGAGAACTGCAACACTGTAACAACTTTAGGGCCCAAGCGAACCACTTTAGTGGACCAACAGGTGTGAAAGCACCCTAAGAGTCCCAGAGGGGGTCAGGGAGGGTGTTACATGTACATGTGGTAGAGGAAACTGGAGGACCTGGAGGAACAATGAGGATCTCAGACACTGAGAGAACATGTCAACTCTAGATCTTTCAACAAAAAGTTTTGCTGTATTTCCAGATATACTCACCAGTTTTGGCACTTATTAAAACCAAACGACTTAAAACTGATGAAAAACCAAACATTTTCGGGGCAGTTTCTCATAATCCCATTGGTTAGACTGGAAGTTCTGGTGTTTCCCTGAAGCAGTGAGTTTGACGGTGCTCTCTAAGTTCAGCCGTCCCTTTGCAAATCCTCTCATAAGCTTCCAGCGCTAATGATCCTGGGCTTTAGGGGACTTTGAAGTGTTGATAGACAGCTCCACCAAAACTTCTGTTCATTGATTTTCTTTTTTCTCGCCCTCTGCTGACAGACAGCTGTAGCCCCGGTCCGTTTGTTTTTCGGAAAGCTCTGCTAACAAGAATTATGAAGTGCGCTGCATTCGCACAGATGTTCCAGCATTAATTATTAAAGATGGAATTTTCCTTAAGAATATTAAGCCGTCCCCCAGCGTTGCCGAGGGGCTTTACGGAACTCTCACTGTGGAAATTTCACTTTTTGGATGTCTCAAAAAATATCAAAGAAGTACAATAAACAAAACAAAAAGTTATAATAATAATGCATCGGTTTTATATAGCGCTTTTTTGGACACTCTTCACATGTGAAGAGTGTCACGGTGGTGATAAACTGTACAGTAGCCACGGCTGCCCTGGGGCACACTGACAGAAGTGAGGCAACCAGTCTGTGCCATCGACACATACACAATGCAGTGCTAACTATGGTTAAAGAATACAAATTTTCTCAACAATGTTCCAGACGTTTGACCCTTAAACATGACCTTGAGAATATTACCTTTGGCATTTTTCCTTTCACATTATGAAACAACCAACATGGCATCTTGTTGGAGGTTTTACTTTTTAAAACCGTAAAACAGCCCTGTTCATTTTGGTCATAGCATCACACGTTTGAAAACAGGCTATTTAGACAACTTTTTATTATCTTGTAATCGAGTCCTGGCCCTACAGTTTTTATGTATTTATTTATTGTGTTTTGTTTTTAATCGGGAGCCTCCATGCCACCATCCAAACCTCCTTTACCCTTCTCTCCTGACGATGTGGAAATCCCCAGGGTGAGCTCTGTTCAGGCCGGAGTCTGTACCCAGTGATGAACGCACGAGCCGATGTTTTCCCGATCCGTCTTGTTGGCTTGTTTGAGTAATGCTGCTTATTCCAGCGGCGCCGCGTGTAAGGAGCGATTGGAGTGTCGGCCGCGGACTCCATCTCCCCTCCGTAATCTCATCATATTGAGCGGGGAGGCGGGATACGAGACCAGGCAATTTACGCGTGGCATTTTGGAAGCCCGCCGAACGAGGCCCGAGCGCCAACTGACAGCCATCCGTTTGACGCACACTGTAAAAAAAAAGAAAGAAACACAGAAATTGCGTGGAGGATGTTTTGTATACTGGGTTTTGAAAATGCTGAGGTTTGATTTATTTGATGTTACGTGTCTACAAGATGAGAATTCTGTCATCGAAACTTTACTACAATGCTATATCCATCCATCCACCCATTTTCTTCCGCTTGATCCGTTGCCGGGTCGCAGCAGTCTAAGCGGAGACGCCCAGACTTCTTCATTCTACACACACTTCCTCCAGCTTACGATGTTATAAAAGGGCATTACATGAGACAGTCTGTGAAACTTCTTTTATAACATGTGCTATACAATTAAAATGGATTGGATTGGATTGATTATTAACACCCAGGACACACTGGAGGGAGAGGAGGGATTCCCCCAGATGAGCTGGAGGAGGCGTGTGTCTATAAGGAAGGGCGTCTCTTGGACTGCTGCCCCCGCGACCCGGCAACGGATAAAGCGGAAGAAAATGGATGGATGAATATCAACAGTGCATTGGCCTGGACTCACAGCAGACGAGACTTTTCTTAGTCCTCTCACAGAAAATTGTATCAACATTTTAAAAAATTTGGGTAATCTGGGTACGTTTCAACATCTACTTGTCACCCTGTATGTTTTTTTTAGGGTGTATTCAGACCCGCACATTTGCTCCACTTTAAACGGACCAGGATTCGTTTGGAACTTAACACATTGTATATGTTTTGTGCTCCCTGTGTGCTCCTACGATGCACACAATTGTACAGCGCTTTGTGACTCTGGTGCGCTATAGAAATAAAATAAGTAATGTTTATTTATATAGCGCATTTTACAGACCAAGGTCACCCAAAGCGCTTTACAATGTTCATAGTTCAGATATTGTTCCAATCATTCCACACACAGTGATGACGGAAGCGAGTTGCCGAACACCGGGGCATCAGCCTCCAATCAGCACCATCCATTCACTCTCTCATTTACATTCAGACCTATCGTGCATGTTTTTAGTGGTAGGGGAAACCGGAGCACCAGGAGAAAACCTATGCAGACATGGGGAGAACATGCAAACTTCACTCAGAAAGGCCCTGTTCCGACCTTGGATTCGAACCCAGGACTTTCTTGCTGAGAATCGAAAGTGCTATCCGCTCAGCCACTCTCTGCTGTCCTGTATGTGCGCTGCAACACTGGAATTTCCCCACTGCGGGACAATGTAAATGAACACTGTGACACTAGAGAATAATTGTATGTAAAATATACTGTCATACTATATATTTCCTCATAGACTGGATACACATGGACAATGCTTATCGGCTAGTTTGACGAAGCCCAATAGGGAAGTGCTCATGGACAAAGTTTCACTCCTACTCGCTCTGGCTCCTGTTGACTTACATTGAAACGTAAACTTCTCTCTTTGATCCTGGGGTTTTAATTTTTATCAGATGCCTAGTTATTTCTTTCATAACATAATCTCAGCTCTGATATTCAATGCGTTACCATGGAAACGCATTGAAAATCAGCCATAAACCAGGTTCATCACGGATTGTAGCTGACAATATAACACTGCAAAAAATGATAGAATATGAGGTAATAATTGCTTGAATAGATTGGTTCGTATCTTAATTTGAGAACTTTCTGAATGTCTAAAAAAGAGGCAAATCTTGTTTTAAGGCAGTCAAAATGTGCTCAAATTAATTTTGATTTATATTTTTATCTATTTTGTATTTTTCATCACTTTTCGTATTGCAATCTTGTTACATTAAAAAATCTATAGAAAGTAGTACAACCTTCTGGATTTAAATCATGCTGTATCATTTTGTACAGTGCTGTGTTCCCCGACCTGCTTCTCTTTCTGTTGAGTTTTTTCCCTTTTATATCTAGGAATATATTTGATGCTTCCTTCAACGCCCCCCCCCCCCCCCTCCTGCTTCCCCCGTTCCCACCTCCTCCGTACCAGACTATCTCATATCGCGTCATGTCGCTCGCTCGGGGAATGGATTGGCGAAATGTGACAGGCAGCATGCGGTTGACAGACACGTGCAAACAGCGACGAAGACAAGGAGAGGGAGAAAGAAAGGAAAGCCCCACACCAGACGCTTTGAAAGAAGGGATGTGAGGTTAGAAGTACTCGACCCGCGCTTTGGTCACCGGCATTTGTATGTGCAGAGAATATGGACGAAACCACACTTTCAAACTCAATTTGGCTTTTACCACTCGCTCTTCAACTGGACAAAGTTATAAAAATAAAAATAAATGAATGCTTTAATTTGGCATAAACAAGATTTGCCAATGGGACGAACAAACTTATCTTGTTAATGAAGCAACCGTTTTTTAAATAGAACTAAATGGCTTTGACACATTGGCAAATCCTGGCCACAATGTACTCAAAAATTAAGATGAACAAAACACTAGATTCAAGCAATTACTACCTCCTATTTTATCTTCTTTTTTTTGCAGTGTTCTCAGTATACATACAGACCACTCTTGTCTCAGTATACATACAGACCACTCTTGTCTCAGTATACATACAGACCACTCTTGTCTCAGTATACATACAATGGCTATAATTGCAAACCTTGTTCTTTCACTTTCTGCTTTGGCTCCACAGAAACACATACTGTTTTATCACGCAGTCATGATCAAAATGGCCTAAATACGTTCTAACTACATTCCTCTGGTGTCTCTGTGGCTTTTCCCCTCGTCGTTAAATGCATCTGCTCGTCTTAATTGGTTATTAATTGGTTTCCTTGGTTGCATGAGGCAAACATCGGAGAACAAATTGCACTGACTACATGTGCTCAGTCCATTTGGGGAAAGTGGACTGCGAGACCTCAGCGAGACCTCAGCAAGACTTCAGCGTGTCCGGCTTTACATGCGTTTGGATCAATCGGTTTCAATTGGACCAGGGCAGTTATCCCGCTCTCTCTCCTGCTGTCTGACTGATGCTGTGGCCCGGTCTCCCTCCAGGTCTGGGCTCATGGTCAGAAATGGCGTCCATAAAACACTCCACTATTGAGTTTGACGTATTCATTAATTTCAATTTAATGTACTCTAGCCCAGACGCTAACCACTACGCCACCGTGCTCACTGTAATCCGTAATGCCCAACAACGATGCGTCCTATTTCTTTAAAGGTACTCTTTGTAATTTTTTCAGTTGCTCCAAAAAAATAAATAAAAAACGCTTTAACCAATAACAAACATGACCTTTTTAAGAATATTTACCTCCATCATGGTTTTGAAGTGTTGCCATAGACTTAGAGGTGTCCATGAGAACTGGAGGACTCTCTGTGTCAAGGCGCCATCTTGAAATACAGTGGCTGATAAGGGACAAAAAGGAGTTTGACCGGGAGTTGATGACCACTGTCAAAGACGACATATTGTCCTGCAAAGCTATCGTAGCACCGTAAATTGCATTATTATATGACTTGGATCGTACGCACGCTCTGATTGGCTGATTGCGGTCTGATATTTTCCCATCTCGGATTGTTACCATGACAATTGGTCCGCGGCGCGTATAAGATTTGATTTCTTTCGTTGGTAAATAAAGAGATAATGAGCGACGACTGGGGGCATTCTCCTAGTGAATTCTATTATCCGGACGAGTTCGAAGAGCCAGAGGAAGTAATAACAGCAAATAACTACGAAAACACAACTCCTAACAGTCAAGAAGAGATTGACAACTTTGTTACAGACCAGAAAGCTAAAGCCACGATTAGGAAAACCAAGTCGGACATGAACATACTTCACAGATATCTAAAAAGCATTGGTAAAGACACAGAAGAGATTGAAAACTTACCAGCGGGTTCTCCATGTCACGATTTGACAGTTTGGTTGCATATGTTTTTGCTAGCTAGTTGAAACCGATCAATATTTGCAAAATTAAGAATAGTCATACTCGCTTGCTCGTTTAATAAGCCGTTAATATATGTTCTCAATGCTAGATGGGAGTAAAAACTACAAACTGTGCCTTTAAGACCATGTGGATTGCAGAAGTGAAGTTAATAGTTTTATCACATTAGTTCTCCATTGACAGAATCACCCCGACACATTGCTGCTTAACATCCATTTAACTCCACACGGCTGGCCCAATTGAATTATTTAGTTGATATGTCCTGTTGTTTTAATGCATTCTTTATGTGCTCAAAGCTTTAAGCCCGCAGTCCAACCCAAACAGGAAGAATCTCTTTGTTCCAGCTCCAAGAAAAAACACCCAGTTTAATTTTTTATGCCATCTGCCATTCAAATTTAAGTCACCCGTGTCCACCAAATCCACACATATTCCAGTAAATGTCACGGCGTTTTTCAATATATCCAAAATATTCTGATTATCTGCGAGAGAAGCCTTCAGATTTTACGGCTTTTACTAGATTTTGTGGCATAAAACGAAAATATTCCAAGTAATTATGTCCAGGAAAGCACAATTTGTACCTTGTATAAATGAGAATGTTGTGATGAATGAAGCAAAGGAAAAAGAAATGTGGTGTTTTTTTGGCTTCGCACAACACATTTTTAAGCACAAATCGTTCTCCCAAGAATAGGTCCATTGAAATTTCTCTCAGGTGTCATAAAACGCTCCGAAGATGTGATTAAAAATGGGTGAAAAAGGAAATTACAAACCTCGCAGCAGGATTTTCATCAACCTGATGAACAATGTAATAATTTGAACCAATGAGCTGATTTTTGGGTGAAAGGGGCGGGGATAGGTGGAAGGTGAAACTGAGTTCTCTGAGCACAGGACAGGGTTATTCAAACATGCAAACACTGTATTTGTTTATTATAACAACAATAAATCCACATAAAATGGCACTAACATTATTAACACTCTATCTTTCCGTGTAGACTTTTTCTCAGTTTCATAAAGGCTGTGGATCCTCTTCATTATTGTGCGTCTACAAA